TATATATATTTGAATAACTATTTTTGTGTATTTTTTTAAACTTTAATCTTTTATTTTAATAGGAAAAAGAGAAAGGTAAAAAAAATGAAAGTACCTGATTACGACGACGTAAGTTGTTTTCAACAAACATACTTATTTTATTTAGTTTTTCAGAATTTTATTATCATATTAGTACGAATATAACTTGTTCTTATTCTAATTAGGAATTACCGAGTAAATGAGATTGGACCGAAATCCAAGGGGTGGTCAGTAATATTTTGGATCAAAAGGAAGAAAGTAAACAAAGTTTATTTATACTTAATATAAATCAATGTTTCAAATTATTGATTAAAAAATTTTGATTTATAATTTTGTAGCTAATTGTTGGGTGATTGGTATCATTCGAGCCATTGAAGTCATGTTTAATATTGGTAAGAGAATAGAAGAACAATACAGTTTTTCTATTCAACACATCACCATCACCAACAACGTGGAACAAAGAGAAAACAGAATTTTTGACTATGGAGAATGTCCATCATTCATAAAAGAAAATGGACTTCTTCTTGAGCAAGAGTGCCCATACGAACGAACTCAATCTACATGTGAGCACGATAATGTAAGTATTAATTAAATATATTAATAACTATATGTATATATATTTCTATATATATTGATTTCTCTATGAATGTACAAACAGCCTAGGACAGAGATGGTGGATGAAATTGTCGAGTGTCCGAATATAGAAGACGTAGATATCGTGCCATTGGTGAGAAAGCAACCAATTATAGGGAGTATTCCCTTATGGTCAAGATTCAAAGCATATGGCAAAAGAAATGAACCGGTAAACCAATGAGATTATTATTTAGTTTTTATATTTTTGACAATATTTTTGTTTTAGATAGTAATAAAAAAAAATGTGTTGATCGTGTAGGTAATTTTCAAAGCATCATCAAAAGATAAGTTAGCAGTGACGAGGAACATAAACTGGCACAATGTTCTTATAGTGGGATATGGGATAGACGATTATTGCAACACTTATTGGATAATCCAAAATTCGTGGGGGCTCGAATGGGGACAACAAGGATTCGCACGCGTTCACAGAGAAACGGTAAGAGGAAGAAGATCGATATTTCTCCAAGTTGTTTACCCCATAAAGAAGGGATTTCCTGAGAAACCAAAAAAGAAGAAGTAAACAAAAAAGGTTAGTTGATTTTGCTAAATTTATATTAATCTACAAGTTATGATCCTAATTTTATAGGTTTGATTTAAGATAAAATTTGTGACTGATTATATATAATGTTTTGTAGATGAAATATGTTTGATACGATTCTGGATCTATAGATTTAGTGATGATTGATATTTTGTTTTGCAGATTCACCTTTGTATCTGGTTTCCCTCTTCTTCTGCTTGCATACGTCTTTTGTTTCACTCTTTTGGACGACTTGCTTTCTATTTAGAATCTATGAAATTCACCTCGATGGTTTTGCTTTAGAAATTGTTGCTTTGCGTTTTTCCTTTTTATCTTCAAATCACCGACGTAACAAGGAGACACCCAAGTTAAGTTAGATTGCACGTAGAGTCATCCATTTGAGAGATACATGGAACTCACTAAATAGACTTCAGTCATAGATATAGATAGATGTCTTAAAAGTCGACAAGATTCTACGACATTCTTAAAACCCCGTTTACATATGTAAACGGGGTTTTAAGAATCGAGAAACAAATACCTAAGTAGGTCTTGTCACTTGCCTACTGGGTCGAAAAGGCTTCACATAAACAGCCGCGATCTCTGCAGATGCCAAACAAACACACACATGTACACACAAAAACATTTCAACAAATCACAAACACCGAGCATACAAATAATTCTAAACTTGGTCAACATCAAAACTAGGCTTATCATAAGGGGGGGCAAAAAACCCAAATATGATAAGGCACACTACCATGATATGTTTCTACCTTTTCCCAGAAAACAGTGTAGCTCATACCAAAGAGACAGATTGCAGGTCATATAAATGGTTAAACATGTGAAGGTAGCCTATGCCAATAACACACCAATAAATACATACACAAAAAAGAGTGTCGGAATGATAAAGGAAATATATTATTCGAATTAACAAGTATGGAGGAGTGAATGACAAAGTCATCTACCTTCATCGGTTGGACGAAGCCTGAATATCTCAACCTCGATGTCATCGGTAACATTTCTCCACACCTTTGTTTGATAACGCTTCAGCTCTGGGTTAGAAAGGGACAGATCTTTCCCCCAAAATGATATGCAAAACACAAAACCATTGCACGGAATCAGATTGACATTCACAATCTCATGAAGCACTACATTTGTTCCCTGAAAAGACAGAGCATAAAGAACATAAACAACAATAACGACCCGAGATCCCAAATGAAACATACGTGTTAAGATCTCAAACATTGAATCCTGACCTCTTCTTGGTTCTCTTCGTCGATGGCATACTGTGTAACCATTTTGACCAAATCGTCATTGCTCATATAATAGTCAAGAGGTACTCCCCACGACCAATTGAAACTGACGAATGGATAATCGTATTTGTCCCAACTAATCTCGAATCCCTAAGAATACGATTCTAAAACATACAAAAAACTCTGAAGAAGCAATTACAGTGATAAATCCCTAAGCTTAGAGATAAATCCAAATACATCAGAAGGCATCTACGCAACCCTAAGCTTAGAGACAAACTCCAGATTGAAACTAACCTCGCTCCTTTCGAATTCGTAGTAAAATTGCTCGTGCTGTCGAGCATATTCGGGATCCCCTGCTCTAGGTTTGCGGAATCTCCTTCCCGTGTACATAAACGTGTCAGGATCGCTCTCAGAGTCTGGAGTCGTCTCCGCCTTCAGTTTCTTCGGCGGCGGAGGCACTATTTCCCCCGAAACTCCGGACTCGATCCAATCGGGAATTTTACTCAAATAACCCATTGGGTCGCACCTATTTCACGTGTACACCAGAAAAAACATAACACTTTTTTTTCGTGTGAAAAGACGAAATTACCCTTAATGAATACGCGATTTTTATCCGTTCGAAAACAACTTCGTTATTACGACTTCGTAATTAATTCTAAATATAGTTACAATTGATTCTAAAAAAGATGGCAAAAAAATTATCCGTCTTATTTTAGTGGTATATCAGTTATATGTTAGTCATAATAAGGTCGCAAAAAATAAAACGAAAAGGGTATTTCGGACTTTTCCAACCGAAAAGTGGGTTAAAATTGAAAATTTTTTTTTTCGGTGGTGTACACTGAAATTGCTGCGACCTAAGTGGGTTATTTGAGTAATATTCCCGATCCAATCTCCGTCACCCTTTTCAGCCATTATCGACGTCCAAACCCTAACTTCGTTGTTCCCTCACTCATTTCTTGAGGCAAAATATCCAAAATTACCTCCTTCTAAAATTACTTCTGCAGATAAGCTTGTCCACTTGGACTTGTAACTAGAATGGTACATTGCTCACAATGTTAGATTTTTTATGATTTTATCCAATGATTAATATGATATATAAGGTGTTGATTAATATGATATATAAGGTGTGATCATAGTGGTTTGATATAATCATCATAAATTTAATCTTATGATCAATGTGATCATTATGTGACCATATATGAATTTTGATCACAATGTCATAACTGAGAAAAAGGTACGTGTAGAAATACTTTTAATAAAAAGAGTATATTTTGGATAAAGCCTCGTTCGTGAACAAAAGAAAAGGCAGATATATATATATATATATATCTTTATTTCCAAGTTATTTGTGTGCAATATTAAAAAAAAAATACTTTGTTTTGTCGTCTAGTCCTTAAAAAAATGCGGACGGAGAAAAATACTAAATCTCTTGGTAATGGGACAAAGTTATACTTTTGCCCACAAAATCAAACTTTTTCAAAAGCGCTATTAGTAATATTATAATTGGCTATCATTATTATATGTTTTACTTATATATGTATATATATGTATGTATGTATTATGTATGAAAGAGGAAAAGGGTTTAGGGTAGTAGTTGTGTTAACATCACTTCTCAATAATAATACAACTTTCAAAGTATTTTCTTCCTTAAAATTGAGAGATATATAATGCTGGATTTTTCTGCTGCCATGTCGATTTGAATTGCATATAAAATATAATTAACAAACTTATTCTAAAATATTAGAAAATGATACAAGTCACAAATGATTTAAAGACCGTTTTGTATACTTCAATTTTTTTTGTTATAAATATATATTTTACATAAAGAAACACATACTCGTGTGTGTATATATATAGAGAAAATATATTTGGTTATTTAATCGTATATTCCTCAATAAGATGAAATTGTACATTTATCATGCCCAAAAACAAAAGAGCAAAAATTGCACGTTTGTCAAGAAGTGCTTCACTAATACCCATGGGGCTAAATTTCAAAATTTTAACTAGATCGTATATGGGCCGTATCATAGTGACTGACGGGGCAAATTAAAATGAAATGGAAATGACGTAGACTTACTACCACGCGCACTAGTAGTAGTAGCGCGTTTGACCACGCACTTGATTTTGGTAGAGTCTAGGGGTGGACGATCGGGCGGGTTCGATTTAATCGGATTTGGTTATTTCGAGTTCGGATATTTTAGATTTAAAATATTCATATCCAATCGGATATATTTTTTTAATCGGTTCGGTTCGGGTTTGGATCGGATCGGATCGGATTAATCCAAAAAAACGATAAAAAAATTCAAACAATTATCTTATAAAAATAACAAAAACAATATTAAAATACATGCATATTTCATTTTTTTATATACCATGGTTATAAAATAATATCATTATACTAATTTTTCTAATTAGATTTAAAATATATTACATATTAATTGATTATATATGGATGGATATAAACGGATATATTCGGTTACGGTTAATTCAGATTCGGTTTATTCGGATTACGATTATTTCGGATTCGGTTATTTCAGGTTCGGATATTTCGGTTTGATATTCATATCCAATCAGGTATATTATTTTAATCGGTTCGATTCGTTTCGGGTATATATTGATCGGATTCAGTTCCATTATTTTGGGTTCGGGTATTTTGCCCACCCCTAGTGGAGTCGCAGAAGAGAAGCTTTTGTCATGAGTTTCGATTTTTCCATAGAGAGATTCGAAAAAATTGGTTTCCGTCACAATGCATTCAACGACTGTCCTATGTTCTTCATGGATGGTAATAAGGTCTTGGCATGTCATTATCACCCAAATTACATATATAATGAAAATTGATGCACTTTTTTAGTGAAAATAATTGTAGGTTTTTAGCTATATATGATACAAAAATAGGTTATTAAATATGCCAAACAAAGAAGAATTGAAATAGTTAACTATTGTTATTATTATTATTATTGATAATAGAATGAATTTAGCTATATATGATACAAGAATTAGAGTTTCAAAAGAAAACTAAGTTAGATGGATATTTTTTTTTTACATTTTTTGTATATATCATTGTAGGTTTTTAGCTATATATGATACAAAAATAGGTTATTAAATATGCCAAACAAAGAAGAATTGAAATAGTTAACTATTGTTATTATTATTATTATTGATAATAGAATGAATTTAGCTATATATGATACAAGAATTAGAGTTTCAAAAGAAAACTAAGTTAGATGGATATTTTTTTTTTACATTTTTTGTATATATCTGTTGGGCCCGCTCGGCCCAGCGGCCCAATTTGGTGGAAAAGGAATGGCCCAAAATGGCCTAAACGGTGTGTTTTGAAGAAAAGGGTTAATGAACCCTAGGTTTTACAACTCACGGTGACTTTTGGAAAAGAGGCACGCACGTGGCTCGAGAAAGAACAAGAGAGTGAGAGGAAGAACGGGAGAAAGGAGATCTACGGCGACGGTGGAGCTTCCCGGCGTCGGTGGAGCTCGGGATCGACGGCGACTCAAGGTAAGAGAGTCATGGTCGGTAAGACGTCGCGTATTTCGTCCCTTTCGGTTGTTTATCGGACTGGTTCGTCGGTGAGTCTTCGGACTTGTGAAGCACCGCCGACGGTGTCGGTTCCGTTGGTTCTTTCTTCGATCTTCTAGTGGATTCGCCGGCACCGTCCGGCCGAGATGTAGGCCCGAGCTTGCTCGGTAACCGAACTCGTTAAAATCTCCGGTGTCTTTCGATTCGAGCACGTACGAGTGTCGGAGTGGCCGTGAGGATTCTGATACCGACTTCACAAAGTGGTATCAGAGCTCCGGTTCCGATCCAGGGAGGTAAGTTCGCCGGAAAAGGCGAGGTAAGTTAGGGTTTCGGTTTCGGTTATGAGTCTGAGTCTGTATGAGCGTTCTAATCTTTAACCGAGTGTGCAAGGCGCAAGATCGGAGCGAGATCGGCGCTCGTACAGAGGAGATCTGAAGGTTCCTGGAGTCGGCGACGACAAAGATCGGTGAGCTGAAGTCTCTGTGGAGTCGACTCGGCCAAAGACTTGTTTCGGAATCGGAAACCAGGTGAGTCTTTCGACTCGGTTCTTTATTTTTCCGCGTTTTCTTCCGGTTTTGAGACCGAGTTTCTTTGAAACTCGGTGAACTCGGCGGAGGAAGACTCGATTCCGGCAAAACTCGGTCCCGACTCGTCCGAGTTAGGGTTTGAGTGGAGGAATCGGGTGAGTCAACAACCGAGTCAACTCGGGTGACTCGGCGGCTAGGGTTTTCCGAAATTAGGGTTTCGGATTAAACCGGTT